TATATATATATATATATATATATATATATATATATATAATTATTAAATTTTTTATTTTTTTGGAAAAACATTTATTTAAGCCACACTGTTTACAACATACATGTGAAATACACTTTGGCAAGAATCTTTGTGTGTGTGTGTGTGTGTTGTATATGTTTCAGAAATGTATTATATTTCAAATCAGAAACATTTCATATCATGATATGATAATGGTGAACTGAAATTTGTCAAAGCTTGTTTTTTGCTTAGGTTTTGTGGTCAGCATTATAGTGGGTTGTGTTGCTGTTTCTAATGTTAACTTATGGTTCATTATTTCAATGAAAACATTTTTATGTTTTCTGTATTTTAGTAGAATTTCTTTAAATTGCATTTAAAACAGATAAAACACAAATCCTCAAAGACTTACATAAGAACAGAGCAAAAGCTTGACTGAGAACATAGCAGATGACAACAGTTGCTAAGGTAGAAATAGTCACTAATGTCTTTAATGCCGGGCTAGCGAAGGGTCAATTGGTCTGTGAGCTTTTTTAGACAGAAAACTACTTTCACAATAACAATTAAACAGTGAAAAAGCAATGATTTATGTATGACCTAGTGGATACTGGAAACCAAAGTCTTACCTCCAGCACCACAGACATCACTATGGCCTAATAAATTCAATTTACAATTTAAATGTGTTATATAAATTTACAAGTTAATTGTGCAGCAAAGACTACATTGCATAATATTCATATTGAAAATAGAAAATAGGCTTAGATGGTCGACCAGGATGGTTTCTTTAAGCCTTCTGCCGCTGAGTTTGAGAGGCCAGATCTCACACTGAGCGGTGATGAAGTGCTGATGAGGAATTTATCAATGTACGTCAGCACATCAGAGGAGAGCATTATGTGGCTACACTGGAATCTGTGTGCGTGCGTGTCTGGTGGACTAGGTGAAAAAGACATGTATGGAAAGTAATCCCTAATTTATGAACGTCTCCCAGGAATGCCTCACAGCAGGAGAAGCTACTGTGTAGTGCAGCATCCCTATCTTTAAAGGGATGATAGGGAAGAATAGAGGGATTGAAAAGAAAGTGTCAATTGACGGCAGCAGATCACTTGTGTGTCTCCTTTCTATTATAAGTAGCTGTCTGCCAGTCACATACTGTGGGGTCCACTTTAAAATCTGTATTTTTCCCATTGAAGCCTGAAAGTCATTTGAAAGTTTGAGGTTTTTAAAAAATGAAAAACAAGAAAAGTTATGATGTAGCTACAATTAATAAGAAATATTTCAGATTCTGCACCTTATTTTTTGGGCCAGTAATCAAATGTGAATTAGAAGAAAATAATGCAAAATAGAAGCATTTCCAATAGTTGTTTGGTTTGAACTGTACACATATCAAAAAAAAAAAAAAGAATTCTACATAGTCTTGGCTTTTATTAAATATTCTTGCTGTTTCTAAAAAAACACTTGCAAGTACATCTCGCTCCTTTATTTTACATCTTTGTCAATCACAGGAAAACAGCCACACCACAGGAAGGATGACTGAGTGATCCGCCTATTTTCATCTGTTAAAGCTTTTGTTTATCTAACCCATTCCCACTGTCTGTTTGTCCTTTCATGTTTCAGCTCTGTTCTGCACTCGGATCAGAACCCCAGAGTACCTCCCAAAAACAAACCCGCATTCCTCCAACCCTGACAGACATTTTAGTACAGTATAGTTTAGTGAGGTATAGAACAATTTTTTTTTTATTTTTTTTTGCAGATATTTAATTTAGAGTCTTTTCAGGTAGGTACAAATTGTATACATGATGCATGAATGGGTGTGCGTGAGAATGAAGACATGGAGATCTTGGGAATTGGTTCATGCACTAATGACTTGAGTAAATGACTCCACATTTACTCATTTACTCATCACATATATGCCTGTTTAAACAGATCAGTCTTTAAATGCAAACTGAAACCTTGAAAAAATGAAAATAACACAACCGAAACTGCAAAAACAATATGAGCAAACAGTCCATACCCTGTTATCCTGCTTTAGTCTGCATAGTCTGGACCATACGCAACAAGGGAAGCATAAGCGAATACATCATCAGGCATCAATGGACTTTGAAAGCTCTCAGGTTCACAGAGAGACGCTGTGTGTTTGTTTACTTATAACAGGATTCTGTCCATGATTTCAAAGTTCTTTGGGAGGCACATTAACTTCTGAGGCATGAACCTAACTCTGGTAAACACACTGAAATTTGGAACAGCTGTGGGCAACTAACTTTACCTAGTCATTTTTCTTAGTCCACAGATTCATGAAGCTTTGTAAGGTTTCAACAAAAGCAGGTCACCCATGTTTATTCAAGATGACTGGGATTCCAGTTTTGCAGCGTTAACAGGTTCCATTGCATAGCTACTTTTGTTTTCTAAATCCTGAACAATTAAGCATGCGATGCTCTGAAGATTTTAATGAGTCACTGCATTAACTTTTTCTTCTCTGGATTAATGCATGTAATCTATTTGTAAGCCTACATACATTAATTTAAGCCTAAATTCCTGTTTACAAAATCATTTATAAGTCAATCAATCATAAATGTGACCGCCCCACATAATCACAATGACCAAATGTCTAGTGACTCAGCAGCCATGGGTAAAGCTTTTCATGAAAGACTGTAAAGCATTTTCGAATCTTATAATTAAGTGGAAAATGAAAAGCATCAAGGGCAATTAGCATTGCTCTGAAACACACAGGCTCCTGTGTGTGTACATGAGGATGATGCTGACCTCAGCCATCAAAATTCACTGGACCGAATGGGCATTTAACTCAAAATGCAATGAAGTGCAATAATTTTATGAAATATTTTATATTGCATTGTGTTCTAAAGTTAATTATTTCAACATTGTAGATGACTCTGAATTGACATCTGAACTATGATTTAACCTTCAATCTAATGGGCTCCATGCATATTCTGCCCATATTCTTCACTCTAAAAAAATCCTGATTAGATGTATTATCAAAACCTGGCAGCTATATCATCGCCAGAAATTCAGAAAAAGCGATGACAGCGAGGCATTTCATTTCAGGCATTTTGGTGGCTGTATAATACAGTTAATAATATAGCAAACTACTTGAACTATTAAAACATTACACAATGAAATAAAGCTCATTAAGTTTTCCATGAGCATTCACAATGTGCACAATATTATCCACATAAACACAAAACACTTTTAGGGTAACACACTTGACATTCGATACACTAAATAACTAAGCAATATCAAATGTTACCTACACTTAAAAAAAAAAAAAAAATAGCCTATGATTAAATGTGATGCATCACACAGGGAATTCTGGGAACGTTATTTTACTGTTTATCAGGTGACTGATTTTATGCACATTTTAACAATATTTTGATATATGGGTTGTTATGTTATATAATATATAGGTTGCTTTAACAAAAAATATGTTGTCATCATAGATTATAAGGTAGGATAACTCATATTTCGTTATATTTTTACAGTAATTTAAGGTAACTTAGTTAAGCAATTAACAGGTTTTTTTAAACTGTAGTAGGCCTATTTTACATTATCTTCCTCTTTAAATTACGAACATTTTAAAAGTCATAAATTCAGAAATCACTAAGTGCTCGATCTCCACGTGTTTTTTGCCGGATAGACACATTAAATTATGTTTTATTAACAAAGTTCGGGAGGAGCACGTCAGATACTTAGCCTAATTATCACAAGAGGAGCGCACTCAAGTTAATCAACACCAAGAGGTATAAATACAGTAGACTTACCTCTCTCCATCGACGGTTTATCAGCATCCCTCCATCTGCTCACTTCGAGTTCTAAGTACGCTTATGCGGGGGGGATAGGCTACTCTGGGTTCGGGCCGTTCCCGAGCTCGGAGCCCTTCCCCGGACAGCACGCCAAATACGCATTACTATACTTCAGCTAATGATATGTAAGTGTGAACTCGTGAATTAATGTTCTTTTATCTTTGTCTTGCCTCATGTCTCTAAAGTAAGAAAATACTTGACGTAATAGATACATTTTTGGGGGTTAACATTAAAAATACATTTGCGATTCACCTTGTTGGTCCTCGGATCATTTGGAAAAGGTAGGCTACAATATTTATAGTTAATACATGCTTGTATCACTTTAGTTTGTATTACTTAAACACTGGAAAATCAGGATCGTTTAAGTGGTTGAAACTCAATATATAATAGTAACCAAATATTTGAATGTATTCAACATTAAAGTCGTTTGACATTGTAGCGCCTGAAGGGAGCACGTGAGTGAGTGGTGCGCGAGAGCAGAAAGCGCTATATGTGAGCGCTGATTGATTAGCAGCACTTACCGTCAGGCAGCTCCGTTTCTTCACTGGAAGTATTGCACTTTGCGATATAATCCACCGTTTTCTTCACGAACTAAGCCATATAATGCTCTGTCCATGCCACGTCCACGCCTTCTATGTTGACACTCAATCTGTTTTAGATATCCGCCGTCTACCATTGTAACTTTGTTTGGGAATTATGTAAAATATAAAGGACTGTTGCCAAAAAATAACGTTCTGTCAGTCAAAGCTCATTTTACCTACAGAGTTAAATGCGCTACTATCCTTTCGGCTTTCAGACAGAATAGCAAAGTGCGTCTATATGTCTTTCTCATGCTCTGTCTGTTATGTCTCAGTATATTCTCTGATCTGGTTCGAGCACTAAACATAATTTGGTTGGGCTACTTCTGTTCCTCCTACTGTCTCCCTCCCTCTCAAAGAACTCCTCCCTAGCCCTCATTAGCTTTCATCCACACTCCAAAACCTTCCTTTATCCAGTTTCTCTAAAGGATTCTTTCAAAAATGAATCACTGCAGAGAGAGAAAGGCAAACAAAAATATTTAGTTACACTTCTAAATGGTGTATATACATATTTAACCAGCATGTAATTGTGGAGCATTCATACATTAATTAGGCTAATTCCATACATTAATATTTGTTTATCAGCATCATGTCAATAAACTGATAATTTTAACTAGGAACGCACTCACCCTGACATCTCAAGACAATTTACTGTGTGACAAAATTCAACAAAAGTGTACAAAAACCTGCAGTTGGTCAAACGTGCAACCATATTGGTCAAACAGAATAATTATGTCCTTAACAACAAAAATGAATAGATTTTTTTTCCCCAGACAGTTTTAAGTGTCATTAACCCAAACTGTGAATGCATTTAAACATAATTGTTAAATAGTGTTCCCTTTCATTAAGTCTACAGAAGCACAGAATATTTGCCAGTGTTTCAGCTTCTTTATGGAGTCCAGAATAAAAATGATGCTAATATTCTTATGGATTAGTCTGAATTAGTTTTCACATGTTGTACACTGGTAGATTCTGTCTATAACCAGTTTGGAGTTATGTAATTGAAGTAATCACGCTTATGCACACTTATGCACCTCATTGTAGTCACAAGTTCTTTGTTTTCTGTTTCTTGGAATTGTAGAGTATTCCAGATTCACAGGAGTGAATGATGGCTTTGAAATGCAGCACTCTTCATCCATCTTCATAATATAGGTGTGCGCAAACGGCACATAACAAGAAATCCCATGTTTTTATTTTCCCTGAAGGAGGATGAAATTAGACCTGACAGGCTCATTATACAATGAAATTAATAACATTAAAGGACTGATTGAAACATGGAAGAGATTACACACTTACACTGAATACATAAACATGACAGTGTTCAGCCTCAGAGCGTTTCAAACACCTGCTCCTCTGTAAGGGATTAAATGGAAGTTTGAGCAAATGACGGTCTCTCTTTTCTTTGCAATTCAAATGAGCGCAGAACTCCATCCTCAGCAGTCAGTCCCAGTGCTTGAGTCAGCCAAAAAATAAAAAATGACAAATCCCTTTCCTACGGTGGCCGAGAAGTGCTAAACAAATCACAATTCTGAAAACAAAATAACGCGTATTTTTTTATTCCATAGTAAGAGCAATTCATACAATACATGTAAACTGAGCTACTTTAGTACCATCTCCGAACTTTCTACCAGGACTCTGCTGTTCTTCGGCTGGTTCTTCCTGTATGCGTTGATTGACAGATGTCTCGCCCCCTTTTTCAAGCTCTCCCTCAGTCCTGCCTGATCATTTTTTCCTGATGATAGAACAATGGATAGATAGATGAAATAGATGGATGGATAGAGGAGAAGAAAGAGTGGGACTGATTTGAATGTTTAAAAGTAATTAATTGCGTTAATGAAATGGATCTACAGGGCTGATTCATGGTTCGGTCGGCAATGGCCCTCCGTGTGATTGTTTTGTTCCCACAGAGAAACAGAGGCGTTGTGAAAGAGTCTGTTCATTCTTACTGCAGAGGCAGTCTGAGTGTCTGCACACACACACTAGCGGCACTGAAAGAGGGAGAATGCCACATGCCCATTACTTAAAGTGTGTCTGAGCGAGAGAATTCGATTTCTGTGAAACTTTCCGTCCACAGACCAAATCAGTTATCAAACCTAGTACAACTTGTCTCAACCAAGCAGGTCTATGATACCTGGAGAAAGCTATGTTGTGTTATTGTTCCCATTCATAGCAATGGTAGTGGCTTGGCTGGCACAGGAACCCCCAACAGTATGTGATTTGATTTCCACCCTGTTTGCTCATGTGGGTTCGGCTCTGGCCAATCACTTGAGCACTTAAATACCATGTGATTTTGAAGCTGCAGGAAAAATGGCTTCATAAAAATGCTGGTTGACTTAAATTTGGATTGCTGTGACGTGGAAGACAGCAGAACAAAAAAAATTATTTCATGCTTTTAAGAGTCCAAAATTATCTATCTGGTACCAGTATCTGTAATGTAATGAACACTTATTTATAAGTTGCTTGGAAAAAATAAATAAATTCTGTTTACTGTGATGATAAGTTACTTTGTCTTTGGAAACTTCATCTTAACTACATTTACATGCAACAAAATAATCAGTTTGTAATTGGAATTGATGGCTAAGTTATACTAGGAAAAAAAGCCTTCATGCATCCACCTTAATCAGAGGAGAAACAATCTTGTGTAGAACTTAAACAAGGTGTTTGAAAAATGTTTAGCCATGTAAATGCTTACATTTGAATACTTTCTTAATTTGGTACACCAATAACTTGCGCACATGCAGTGATTTGTTGCATATGTTTTTATATGCCGAATAAACTGATACATGAAGGAGATTGAATATTTGCTACGTATATACTGAAAAAACAGCATTTGCAGTAGCTCTGGTGGCATTTTTTACAGTGGCTTTTACAAATGTGGCGATTTTTGTTCAGAATACACCTATGCACATGTAAACGAATATGTGAATCAGAGAAAGTCATGGGTTCATATGCACAAAACTTTCAGAATCTGAAACCGCACACAAGATATCCCAGGTAGCCAGCGCAATCGGGCCAATTGCGGCTGAGTCTCGGCTCACCAAAAGTGAGCCAGCTCCGGCCCAGTAATGGTTGCCAGATATGGCTAGGCTTTGGATGTGCGGATCTGGCCCGATTTGCACTGAGACATGGCACATTTAGCCACATTCGGCCCGATTATGGACCATAAGTGCTGGTCTGATTTTGGCTGAGATATGGGCATGCATACCCAGACCAGTTTAGGTTGAGTGCTGGGGGTCTCAGTTTACAATGTGGTAAATAGTATGTAGCAGTGACACTTAAACTTAAACATATCTTTTACCTGCCCTCGTTATGTTATTTTTTTTAGTGTATTTTTTTAGTGTATTTTTATCCAACATTCTCTTTTTTTTTCTTTAACTACATTTGGAAATTAATGATTTAATTAATATAATGAAACAAGCTTAAAGTGGTTAAGGGAACTTTAACATTATTTTTGCTATATGAGTTTCAAGACATGCGCACTAGCTTTGACATCTAATGACAAAACCTGACGGGCTTTTTGTGCTGCTAATTGTCAAAAGACCAGAAGAACTTAATACACTGGTGAGTAAACATTTGATAATCTAACATAATATTTTAATAAACCGCTCTACACATATAATATCAAAGTAATGTTTATTTATAATGAAGCTATAATTGTGAGTTTGCTGACACAGTGCTAGAGTTTAGCTCCAACCATAATCAAACACACCTGATCCAGCTAATCAAGGTCTTCAGGATAACTAGAAACTTCAAAGCAGGTGTGAGTAGGAGCTAAACTCTGCAGAGCTGTGGCCCTCCAGGAATTGAGTTTGACACCATTGGTCTATGGTATTGCGACTGATCTTTTCTTTTTTTTTCAATCAGTGCAAAGAAATGCAAGTACTGGCAGTGCATCAGATGGAGAGATTGAAAAGTTCATCAAAGATGGCTGCTGCTCACTTTGGACAGAGATGGGGGAAGAAAAGAGCAGGCCCGAATACAAACAAATTCTTCCAAAGGTATGTTCCAAATGTTAACATTTACCAGAGTTACCATTCATGTTATCAGTCTGAGATTGTCTGAATAACCATACGTGTCATGTGTCTGTTCCCCTTTTTGTCTCTCTTTCTGTCAGTCTGTCCCTCTTTTAGGGTACGCTTACTTGAGGAAGCTCCTGGAATTTTTATTTTTTTCACAAGGTCTTCAGGATTACTAGAAACTTCCAAGCAGGTGTGAGTTGGAGCTGGTTGGAGCTAAACTGTGCAGAGCTGCGGCCCTACAGAAATTGAGTTTGACACCACTGGTCTTTTTTTTTTTTTCAGTCAGTGCAAAGAAATGCAAGTACTGGCAGTGCATCAGATGGAGAGATTTAAAAGTTCATCAAAAGATGGCTGCTGCTCACTTTGGACATAGATGGGGGAAGAAAAGAGCAGGCCCGAATGCAAACAAATTCTTCCAAAGGTATGTTCCAAATGTTAACATTTACCAGAGTTACCATTCATGTTATCAGTCTGAGATTGTCTGAATAATCATACGTGCCGTTGTCTGTTCCCCTTTTTGTCTCTCTTTCTGTCAGTCTGTCCCTCTTTTAGGGTACGCTTACTTGAGGAAGCTCCTGGAATTTTTATTTTTTTCAAATAAATTCTAATATCATTCATATAGGAGCACATATGGATGTTATGGGGATGCCATGACAAGAAATGGAGTAAGGGCCAAACCCTTAATCTTTGTAAAGGTGACATATTTAGTTGACATGCATAAGTACATGTAGACTTAACAAGGACACTGTAAAATATGTATTTTATTTTAATTGGAAGTAGATGCCATCTTAAGGATTTTAAGGTAACAATGTCATTTTGTGGAAAAACAAATTATTCAAAGCTCTGGATTTATATAAAAACTGGAAGGAGTCTTTAATACACATATTTTAGAAGGTTTAATTCTGTATAAGTAAGTGTAAGTATATATATTTTTTTTTTTAATTTAGCGAACAAGACTAGTACTGGCTAGGTTTTATATCAAAACTGGAAGGAGTCTTTAATACATATTTTAGAAGTTGTAATTCTGTATGAGTAAGTGTAAGTTTTATATATATATATATATGACACCAACCAAAATGGTACTCTTAGCCAGTACTGGCTCCCGCCCGGGGGCTG